ATACTTAAGTATATACAATGTTTACATTTATATTTAAAATACCTGTTGTCAAAAATAGAAATTGTGTGTTGTAAAATAGTTGTGACCTATATGACAAAGAGTTGATATTGTTAACTTAAAAAAAAAAGCATTAAAAAAATTTTTTTTTTTTAAAGATGGGGTTTCACCATGTTGGTCAGGCTGGCCTTGAACTCCTGACCTCAGGTGATCCGCCCATCTTGGCCTCCAAAGTGCTTAGATTACAGGCGTGAGCCACCACACCCAGCCTAAAAAGCATTTTTATAAATCAAAGAAATGTTGAAACCCCAATATCAAAGTGGAATAAGGTTATAAACGTGCAGTTCACAGAAGTGGCATTCCAATGGCCAATTCAAGTATAAAAAGAATTTTAAACCTCATGAGTAACCAATGAAAAGAACATTAAAGCCACACTGATATATCTTTTTGTTTCTGTTTTGTTTGAGACAGAGTCTAGCTCTGTTGCCCAGGCTGAAGTGTGGTGGCCTGATCTCGGCTCACTGCAACCTCTGCCACCTGGGTTCAAGGGATTCAGGAGCAATTTGTGCCTTGGCCTCCTGAATAGCTGGGATTACAGGCGTGTACCACCACAGCATGCTAATTTTGAATTTTTAGTAAAGATGAGGTTTTGCCATGTTAGCCAGGCTGGTCTTGAACTCTTGGTTTCAAGTGATACCCTCACCTTGGCCTCCCAAAGTACTGGGATTACAGGCATGAGCCACTGCACCCAGCCTGATCTATCATATTGGATCTATCATATTGGCCAAAATGGGTACTCACTTTCTGAAGGACAACATGTCTATTTACACACACACACGGTCTTTAAATTGCACACATGCTACTATGGTTTGAATGTTTGCATCCCCTCCATTCATGTTGAAACTTAATCTTCAGTGAAACAGTGTTAAGCAGTGTGGCCTTCAGGAGGTGATTGAGTCATGAGGACTCTGCCCTCATGAATGGCGTTAGGCACTTCATAAAAGGTCTTGACACAGGGAATTTGCCCTTTTTTTTGCCCCTTCCTTCCCTTCCTCCTTGTGAGGACACAGCCAGAGGCTCCAATAACAAGGCACCATCTTGGAAGTGGAGACAGGGCTCTCACCAGACACCAGTCCTGCTGGTGCCTTGATCTTGGAATTCCCAGCTGCCAGAACTGTAAGAAATAAATTTATGGCTTTTATAAATTACCTAGTCTAAGGTATTCTATTATAGCAGTACAAACGGACTAACACAAATGCCAATTGATCCAGAAATTTCACTTTGGAGAATTTATTCTCAAGAAAATGTGGCCACACCCAGTGGCTCACCCCTATAATCCCAGCACTTTGGAAGGCCAAGGCAGGCAGATCACTTGAGGTCAGGAGTTGGTGAAACCCCATCTCTACTAAAAATACAAAAAATTAGCTAGGTGTGGTGGCGCGTGCCTGTAGTCCCAGCTACTCGGGAGGCTGAGGCACGAGAACTGCTTGAACCCAGGAGGTGGAGGTTGCAATGAGCTGAGATCGTGCTACCACACTCCAGTCTGAGTGACAGAGAGACTCCATCTCAAAAAAAGAAAATGTCAGCTGGGCGCCGAAGTGCACGCCTGTAACCCAGGCACTTTGGGAAACTGAGGCAGGTGGATCACCTGAGGTCAGGAGTTGGCCACCAGCCTAACATGGTGAAACCCCTGTCTCTACTAAATACAAAAAAAAAAAAAAAAAAAAAAAAACACAGCTGAGTGTGGTAGCACATGCCTGTAATCCAAGCTACTTGGGAGGCTGAGACAGGAGGTGGAGGTTGCAGTAAGCCAAGATCGCGCCATTGCACTCCAGCCTGGGCAACAAGAGCAAAATTGCGTCTCAAAAAAAAAGAAAGAAAGAAAAAAAAAATCAGCGAAAGAAAAAAAATATCAGCAAAGATATATGTACAAGGATAGTCATCATAGTGCTATTCCTATTCAAACTAGGGAAACTAGGGAAAACAAACTGTGTCCAAGAGAGGTGCTGGCTAAGAAATGTATTTGTTGACTAGTGTCCTACAAAGTCCCTGAAATTTATAGAAGAATATTGACATGTATTTATACACACTGGGTTTTATATAGGGAGAACTATATTAATCCTAGTAGCATGGCATTACAGGACATTTTTTCTTCATATTTTGTGTGCATATGTGTGGTTTAATTTTCTGGGTTCAGCTCATGTTAGTTTTGTAATTAAAGACTAGCAGAAAAAGGCTAAGTGCTGTGGCTCACATCTATAATCTCAATACTTTGGGAGGCTAAGGTAGGAGGATTATTTGAGCTCAAGACTTTGAGACCAGCCTGGGCAACAAAGCAAGACCTTGTCTCTAGTAAAAATAAAAAATAAAAGATCAGCAGAACACTTACTGTGACAGAATATTTCAGGCTTTCAAAGGAGAGAGAGAGAACACCTAACCATTACTATTCAAAATGGTCCTCAAATGGAACAAGAGCTCTCTGCTGTTGAAGAAGACCCCCAAACCCTCTTCTAGGAGGACAAACTCACTGATTGATATGGTTTAAATCTGTGAGATCTGAACAATCTCTGTGAGGGGAACAAATCTCAAATAAAATTGTAATCCCTCATGTTGGAAGTAGGGACTGGTGAGAGGTGGTTGGATCATGATGGTGAATTTCTCATCAATGGTTTGGGACTGGAATCCCCCTTGGTACTGTCCTCATGATAGTGAGTTCTCATTAGATCTGTTTTCTAGCACCTCCCTGCCTCGCTCTCTAGCTCTTGCTTCTGCCATGTGAGATGCCTTTTCCTTCTGCCATGATTAGAAGCTTCCTGAAGCCTTCCCAAAAGTAGAAGCCACTATGCTTCCTGTGCAGCCTGCAGAACTATGAGCCAATGAAACCTCTTTTCTTTATAAATTACCCAGGCATAGGTATTTCCTTATAGCAGTGCAAGAATAGACTAATACATCGATTTTAAAGTAACTGACATCTTGCAGTTTGTGGAAAGAGGTAAACTTTCCGTAGATAGAGAAAGTTGGGGAAACCTGGGCTGAGCAGGAGAAGAGGTGAGATGACTGGAGAAGGCTGGCTGATGGGGATCGATGTGTCTCCACATCAATCAGAGAAAAGGAAGTCAAATCAGACAGCAGAGACGGGAAGACCTGCTTCATGCACTTCCTCATTCAATCTTACACTCAGGAATCCTCCCAATCCTGGGTTCCTCCTAAATGTCCCCTATTTTAATAAATAGTGTCAACATCCAAATCCTGGGTCCTTAACCCTCCTTTTCCTTCATCTGCCCACATCCAGTTAATCATGATTGATTCTACATCCAAACTGCCGCTCAAAGCCAACCGCATTTTCCCATTCCCACTGCCACTATCCTAGTCCAACTCATCTCGACCATGAAAACAGCCCCAAACCTTCTCTCCGGCCGTTATCCATCTACCTGAGAGAGTTTTGTAAACATAAAGCTACTCGGGCGGCTTCCCTGCGTAAACCCAAGACATGGCTTCCTGGACCCTTAGGGTACAGTCCTTACCAGAGTTGACAAGGCTCTCTGTGATCTGGTCTTATCTCTTGGGAACTTGCCCTGTCCCCACTGCTACTTGAGCCATGTCCAGCCATATTCAGCTTCTTTACTTCTCAGAATGTAGTGTTCTGTCTTAGGAAAAACACTCTTTCATCTGGCCAACTTGTTCTCATTTTCCTAATCCCAGCTTAAATGCTTTTCCCTTAGGGAAGCCTTCCCTCACCCCTGAGATTGGGATAGATGCCTGTTATTTAGTGCCCTCTATTTCCCGTTTGTAACAAACATCACAGATAAGCCAGACACAGTGGCTCACATGTATAATCCCAGCACTTTTGGAGGCCAAGGCTGTCAGATCGCTTGAGCTCATAAGTTCAAGACCATCCTCAGCAACATGACAAAACCCCATCACTACAAAAAATACAAAAATTGCTGGGCATGGTGGTGCACACCTCTAGTCCCAGCTACTCGGGAGGATCAGGTGGGAGGATCACTTGAGCCTGGGGCTCAAGGCTGTAGTGAGCTATGATCACAACACTGCACTCCAGCCTGCGTGATAGAATGAGACCCTGTCTCAAACACACACACACACGCGCGCACAAACACACACACACCATAGATGTCTTGTCTTCCCCTCTCAAATCTGATCACCATGACAGGGATTGTGGCTGGCTTTTTGATCACAGTGTGCCAGTGGCCAGCAAAATGGCTGGCACATAACAGATACTGGAATTGGATTCACTCGGCTCCTTTATTTACATTGTCCTTTTTTCTTTCCTTACTCTTCTTGAGTCACAGTCGCCAGCACAATACAGCCCTCTGATAACAGGCAGAACAAGCAGAAGAGCTAGCTAACTTCATTAAAATCTGGGCAAAGAGCAGTGTGTGTGTGTGTGTGTGTGTGTGTGTGTGTGTCCACTGGCCAAAGAACTGACAAGAGCCAAGGTAGGCTAAAGATTCCTTGTAGAGCCAGCAACTCCTTTCAAAAGAGAAAGACTCTGTGTCAAAACCAAAAAATAAAAATAAATCATGTGCTTGTACTGGGATTGAAGGTTAATAAAAGACTGCAATTTTAATGGCATAGATGAAAAAATAAACTAAAAACATGTCATTTGTTCCAACCAAATTTGACAACTTAAAACCAAGTAAAACAGCGGCCTCTTTTAAAAGAGTAAACTATATAAATTTCATGAAAACCATTTTTAAAGGCATAGAATTAAAATATCTCTTCTCTTCTCCAGGCAGATAATGCTTACAGTTCAGAATCTCTCCTCTGATTGTGACTAAGGGATGAGCCACTCCCATAGTGCCAGTCCTCAGTGAGAAAAGAGAGCCTCTCTAGGTAGTTTTCTCCCTTTCTCTAAAAAGCCAATCATTTAGACAGTCTAGAAGGAGGATAAAGTATTTGTACTGACATCCCTGCCTCTTGCTGCTGCTGCAAAAAGCTACCATGAACACTGTTTCCAACTGAAACCATTGGGTTGAACTTACCCTCTACTGCAGCTTATCTCTAGGGCTTCCAAGTTCCCATGGTAGGCTGCTAAGAGAGTGGGAGTCATGCCATCTTCATCCGAAAGATTTAGATCTCGCTTGGTAGCCTCTTTTAGAAGTTCCAGATAACTATCACTAGCAGCTTGGTGGTAACGAGTAGACATTTTTTCTGCTCACCAGAACTGGCCAGATATCTCTCCAGGCAGAGCAGGGTGTTGGCAGAGCAACCTTCCTATAGCGCTAGTTAATCAGTGACAAGGAAAAGTGTCACCGGGGCAAAGCTCATTCCAGCTTCCTTTCATGGAAGGCAACAAGATTCAAGGCACTGAACTTGGACCTTTTCTCTCTGGAATGGCCATGACGTTGACTACTGAAGACTGCTGTATTCATCTTGAGTGTTTTGAGGCACATTTAATTTTTCTATGTCCGTTAGTTTCTTGAGTGTAATACTGGTCATCTAGGCACAGAATGTAAGAAATTTCTTTAAAAAATGCAGAGCTGGCCGGGCGCGGTGGCTCAAGCCTGTAATCCCAGCACTTTGGGAGGCCGAGACGGGTGGATCACGAGGTCAAGAGATCGAGACCATCTTGGTCAACAAGGTGAAACCCCATCTCTACTAAAAATACAAAAGATTAGCTGGGCACAGTGGCGCGTGCCTGTAATCCCAGCTACTAGGGAGGCTGAGGCAGGAGAATTGCCTGAACCCAGGAGGCGGAGGTTGCGGTGAGCCGAGATCGCGCCATTGCACTCCAGTCTGGGTAACAAGAGCGAAACCCCGTCTCAAAAAAAAAAAAAAAAGAAAAAAAAAAACCCAAAAAAGAAAAAATGCAGAGCTAGTCTAGTTCACTGTTTTTATTTCCAAAAATTACAGCTTTATTGAGGTATAATACCACTAAATTTACCCATTTTATGTATACAATTCAATTCAATGATATTTAGGACATTTATAGAGTTGCATACCCATTTTCTTAATTTTCATCAACCCTCAAAGATCCCGCATGCTAAGTAATATTCCACTGTCCTAAGATACCAAATGTTCTTCATCCATTCAATGTTTGATGAATATGATGACTATTTGGGTTGTTTCCATTTTTTAGCATTGATGAATAATGCTAGTATGAACACTGATATATAAGTCTCTGTGTGGACACATATTTTCATGTGCCTTGCATATATATCAAGGAGTGAAACTGCTGGGTTACATGGCAATTTATATTTAGATTTCAGAAGCTGCCAAACTGTTTTCAAAGTGATTATATGACTTCATATTTCCACCAATAATATATGAGGGTTTCAATTTCTCTACCTCCTTGCCAGCTCTTATTATTGCCTATCTTTTTGTGTATGGCCATCTAGTGGGTGTGAACTGATATTACTGTGGTTTTAATTTGCAATTCCCTAATGATATTGAGCATCTTTTCATGTGCCTATTAGTCATTCTTACATCTTCTATTCAAACCTTTTAGCCCAATTTTAATTAGGTTGCCTTATTAATAAAGTATAAGAATTATTTATACACTCTGGACACAAGTCCTATATCAGATATATTTTGGACAGAATGAAAATGAAAATGCCACATATGGAGATTTAGAGGATGCAGTTAAAGAAAAGCTTAGGACAAAATTGGTAGCTTTTTATGCATATATGAGAAAGAAAAAGGATCCCAAATCAGTAACTTAAACTTATCAATAACTCAAAGGAAGGAGAAAAAGTATAGAAAAATGACTATAAATAGAGAGTACAATATAAGACCAAAAAACATTTCCAGATCTATCTGCAATAAAAACAAAAGAAAATGGACTAAATTTATGATGTGAAAGACTCAGCCATGTCTTGTTTATAATAGAAACATCAAACATATAAAATTGCAGAAAGATTGAAAGCAAAACATGGAAAAGTTATAGCAAGCAAATACTAACAAAACACTGGTGTACCCATATAGTCTGCAACTTATGAGCGTTTGACCTAATTTTTCAACTTTATGATGGTGCAAAATCATATGAATTTAGTATGCCTCTCAGCTCACAACTGAGTTATTATATTAACTTATGGTGGGTTTGCATCGTAAGTTGAGGAGCACTTGTTTTGGTAGCAAGGGAAAATATAGCTTAAGCCAAAAAAAAATTTACTAGACATAAAGAGAGATAATACATAATAATGAAAGGAAAAATTAATCAAGAAACTATGATAGTTTTAAACTTGTATAAATTGAATAACATAGGTGCAAAAAAAGGGAAAGCAAAAAATGAAACAGAAAAAACAAACCCACAATCATCGGGGAAGATTTAAGATACCATCATAATGTTCTGTATCAGATTAAAAATTGGTATAGACATAGAAGATTTGAGTACAATTAACATGCTTGATCTAATAGTCGCATATAGAAAGGACCCTGTACCCCATAGTAAATGCGTGTTTTTTCTAAGCACACATAGAGTATTTATAAAACCTGACCACTAGGCGGGTGCAGTGGCTCATGCCTGTAATCCCAGCACTTTGAGAAGCCGAGGTGGGTGAATCACAAGTTCAGAAGTTCGAGACCAGCCTGACCAACATAGTGAAACCCCGTTTATATTAAAAATACAAAATTAGCTGGGTGTGATGGTGTATGCCTGTAGTCCCAGCTACAGGAGTCAGAGGTAGGAGAATCCCTTGAACCCAGGAAGTGGAGGTTGCAGTGAGCCAAGACTACAACACCGTACTCCAGCCTGGGTGACAGAGTGACTCCGTCTCAAAAAAAAAAAAAAAAAAAAAAAGCAAAAAACCAAACCAAACCAAACAAACCTGACCACTGAATAGAGCCCATGCAGTTCTCAAAAAGTAACAAATGACCACATTCATGCAAACCGTGTTCTCTGAAGACACCACAACTAAATTAGAAACATCATCGTACATAACTCATTACCTATGCATATATTCTCCTGGGGTGTATTTTGTACATTGTTTTCATCAAATACATATAATTTTACATTATGTCTTTTCCACTCTTTAATCCATCATAGATATATTCCCATATTACACAATCTTTAATATATTTGGATAATTGTCCACTAAATCGATGTGGAAAATATCTGTTTTTGAAGTCTGTCACTGTGTATTCTTCTTATCTCTTTTTGTCTAAGTCTTTATTCCAAGATAAACTATTTACCCACTCCAAAGAAGTATAAAGCTTTCATCTGCAGTTTCTTCATAATAATAATAAGCTCCAAGGGTCACTGTTTGTTCCTTTTTCTGGCTTCTAGGTGTATAGCAGTAGAAGCAGCCTGGAGGGCAGCATTATTTAGGTTTCTTTTTAAAACATTACTTTTAGCCCAGAGAGAGGGACATATCCAAACATGACGGTGAACACTTGGAGAAAACGGTAAGGTTGTTCAATTTTTGCATGAACCACTATAATTTAGGTACAACTGCATTCATTAATGCACTTTGAAATTTAAAAATAAACCGGGTGCAGTGGCTCACCCCTGTAATCCCAATGCTTCGGGAAGCCAAGGCGTGTGGATCACTTGAAGTCGGGAGTTCAAGACCAGCTTATCCAACATGGCGAAACCCCGTCTCTACTAAAATACAAAAACTAGCTGGGTATGGCGGCACACACCTGTAAGCCAAGCTACTTATGAGGCTGAGGCAGGAGAATCACTTGAACCTGGGAGGCTGAGGTTGCAGTGAGCTGATATCACACACTGCATTCCAGCCTGGGTGACAGAGCAAGACTGTCTCAAAATAATAATAAAAAATATATACACAACCTGAGAGAGAACTTCTCAAAGATGTATTCTTTATAACAGTATCCTAAGATTCCAACCAAAGGGTCGTTTATCAGAAAAAGATGATGAGGAAGAGGAGGGGGAAGAGAAGAATGGTCGCCACCAGGATGGCCATAAAAGATGAGGAGGAAGAGGATTGTCAAAGTCAAAAATCTAGAGCTGAATCTCTAAATTTAATGTTTTATTCAGAAAAAGATTTGCAATTTGGGATACATTCGTTATGCCTAAAGAACATAGAGAAGTTCAGAGGTTTTATTAAAAGCAGAAATGTTACATATTGCTCTTCAAGAAAGTTCATTGGCACTGGTAGGGGTCTGGAGAGCTGGCGAGTCTAGTGGGCAAAATTAGTCCTAGAGTTGCAGCAAGCTATCTTAGCAGCTGTATATAAAACTTCTCTCAGGTTACAGCAGGCAGTCCCAGCAGTCAGTCTTGCAGAGAATTACATTCTTGGAGCAATTTCTTTTTGTATTCAGAGTGCTTCCCCACCGCCTCTGCCACCCAGCCCCTCAACCCTGATTTAGTTGGGTATAACAAGAATGACTCAATTTACATGAGTAACTTTCCAGGATGGAGGCAAAGGGTAAAGAGGACAGAATGATTATAGGTACGAGGAAGAAGGATTGGAGACAGAAGACAAGAAAGAGAAAGAATTTCTTAGCTCCAACAGTACTTAGGACTTGAAGTCTCCTGTGAAATGGTGAAATATATGAACTTTCCTAAAATGGTAAATATCCTGGCATCCTCTAGCACTTCCTTGGGAAAACTTCTTTTTTTGGGAGTAGAATGCGGCAGGGCAGGGGGAAGAGAAGGGTTTAAAAATTTCTTTTGAACTTGAAGATCCTCTTTATTCCATCCCTTCAAGGTGAGGTTAGGAAAGAGGGTTGAAGATCTAGAGTTCATATAATCTGAGGAAAGTTATTCCATCTACTTGTGTCTCCATATCCTTGTGGATAAAATTGTGGGATGTTGCTAGTGATCGTATAATCATCATCAACTAACTTTACTGTAGTAAGATGAAGAGAGAAGTTTTTTTTACAACCCAAAATGTATGTTTCTACAAACTAGAAGAAGTAGTGTGATTATGGCTTAGGGAACAGAGAAAGTTTTAGCCCAATAATTACATTTTAATTCCTCGAAGCCCAAAAGAAACAAAATTGATGGGAAATGGTAAGGGCAGAAATTAATAAAAGGAGCTAACACAAATTTGTATACAATGTAGACACTAAGTCCTTGTGAGGAGTCATGGTAATTGTGGGGGCAGTTGTGGTGTTTTTCATTGTACTGATCTTGGGGAAATTAGTATTTGAGTGTGTTCCAGCAGTGCACAGTGGAACTCCTGGAAGGCCAGAGAAGGATATTTGCCAGACACACACTGGAGAGACACTGAGGCTCAAACTTGAGTGGCAGTGACCCCAAGTCAAGACTCTCATCAACCTTCCTGTTGGAGCCACGCCATGCCCCC